CAGAGGCGGCAGGTTCAAGCCCAGCCCTGGCCAAAAAACTGCCAAAAAAAAAAAAAAAAAAAAAGAGGGAGGGAATGTTTAGCTGTATCTAATGCTCCTGAGAGGTCAGATAAAATAAGGACCAATAACTAAGCACTGATCCTGGAAAGCTGTACCTCATAATAATGGCTGATTCAGGGAAAGACTAAAGAGAGCACAGAGGGGCAAGTGACCCAGCTCGCAGAGATACGTCTTTACAAGACTTTGCTATAAAGAAGGGCAAAGAGGCACTGGCCAGAAAGGGACATGGGACTTTTATTCCAAATATGGGCAATATTAAAGAATGAGGAGAAAACAAAATACAAGGGGGAAAGTAGATATCTGCAGCCTCACTCGTACAAGTGAGAGGACAGAGCCTGGAACACACTAGAAGGACTGGTCACAGACGCCATCAAGGACGCTTCATCTACCATGGTAAGGGGACCAGTGGAATATTTATTACAGACTAGAAACTTAAAAGAGAACTCAAAATTGTTTCCTAGTACCTAAATACCAAGAACAAATCCTGCTTTGGAAGCTGTTAAGTTTTGAAAACCTAAAATACATCCTATAATAATAACTGAAGTCATTCTTTATATGTGAGGCTGAGGTGGGAGATCACCTGAGCCCAGGAGTTTCAGGTTACACTGAGCTATCAGTGCGCCACTCATTCTAGCCTGGGCAACACAGCAAGACTTCCTCTCTAAAAGAAAAATTGCTTGGTAAAATGATTGAGTCCAGTAGACAATAGAAACAGATTGCCACTTACCTTCCCATAAACTGGAGAGACGCTCATCTGTTTATGAAGCTAAGCTACTGCAAAAGCTGCTAGGTCTAGAATAGATCTGTAACATCACTAGGAACATGAAATACACTGGACAGGTGGCACACGTGCACCCACAAAGACCATGGACCCTTCTTAGAGGAGGAGACCAAGTTCTCTTATACATCTCTGAATTCCTCATTCCACCACAGGGCTGGTGTTCAAAAAGTACTTATTAAACGGAACAAAGATAAAAACAAAACACTGCCGAAGGAGAGGGAAGGAAGCAACAGAGACTTTAAAAAGGCAATGTCAAAAAAGGACTTTCAGGTGTAACAGCTGACCTTCTCCTTCAACACCATTAAGTATTTCCCAGAGTTAGGGTGAAAGGACGCAGGGAGGGCACTCCAGACAGATCAGCACAGACAAGGACAGGAGGCGTGGAAATACATGGTACATTCAGGTCTGTATTTACAGAGGGTGAGTATCAGATTATAAAGACCTCTCTTTAGCTGACAGCTACTCATTCTACTAATATTTATTGAAGGCTACTATGTGTCCAGTGTTATTAGCACAATAATGAAGAAGTTCTTGCTCTCATCAAGCTGAAAGTGTCATCCACTGATTCCTTTACAATACAGACTACAGATCCCTCATCGCACCTGGCACTGTATTTCTCTTACAGTTATTTGTCTAACTGAAATTTGATATTTCAAAAGGGATAATTTAACATGAGTAAGTTCAGGAATTTTTTTAAAAATTCAATACCTCTTTGCAACTGGAGAAAAATACAATACTCTTCTTCTTCAGATGGCTTCTCAAAAAGGAGAACAGCACACTGATCTTCTGCTGCAGCTCGCACACCACGTAGTTCTGCTCCAAAGTGGCAGGGGTGCTTGTGGAATGAAGGGGAGGAGAAACTTCAAAATATGTCATGTTGGTATCTTTGAAATCCAGACCAAATAAGAAAACAAGTTTTCACAGTGACACATCTCAAACAAATTTCCTCTACACACAGACAGCTGGACATTAAGTTCTCAAACTCATCCTAGAAACAAAAGTGCTTCCTACTTCACTGCTGAGTCTCACTAGGGTGACTTTCACAGTATTCCCCTCCGGAAGCTCTGCACCTACACCCAGTCCACCTTTCAAACTACTATTTCCAGGATGAGTTCACAAACTTAATTGCCAGACCTCGTACAACAGCTCTGATGGTCATTCCAGTAAGTTCTCCAACTGCTTTGAAGAACAGACTAGGAGGCCAGGGGCAGGGGCTCAAGCTTATAATCCTAGCACTCTGGGAGGTCAAGGCAGGTAGACTGCTTGAGCTCACAGGTTCGAGACCAGCCTGAGCAAGAGGGCTTCCCCAATCTCAAAAAAATAAATAAATAAATAAATAACAACTGGGCATTGTGGCAGGTGCCAGGTACTCAGGAGGCTAAGGCAAGAGAATCGCTTGACCCCAAGAATTTGAGGTTAGTGTGAGATAGGACGCCATGGCACTCTACTAAGGGTGACGAAATGAAACTCTGTCTCCAAAAAAAAAGAAAAAGGAATAGACTAGGAACTGACTGGCATCAGTGCATAGCTTCTCAAGGGCGTACTCTTTCTTGTTTTGTTATTAAATCATAGCTGTGTACATTAATGCGGTCATGCGGTGCAGTGTGCTGGGTAAGGGAAGTACTCTCAAGGTGACCGCAGTGATTGATATTCAGCAGTGAGGTTTACAGCACTATTTTTAGGGTGAGTTCGTGAACTTAACTGTCTGATGTCATACACCAAAAAGAACCTTTCTGTATTATCCTTAGGAACTAAATTCAAAGCATGACTTTAAAATACATTCAAAATCTTTCATAGATTGTATGTCAAAAAATCTAACTTGTAAACAGTGATAATCTCTGAAAATACAGGGTCAAGGATCAACTAAAAAGGGGCCTGGCAGCTCACTGTGCTGGGAGTAGTGCTCTACACTGTATTAGAGCTTAGGTTGCAGAGATACACACATTCATCAGAACTCACAAGTATACCTAAAATTTGTGTATTTCATTGTATAAGTTCTATACCAAAAAATAAAGTGTACAAATATTAAAACTCCTTAGTGATATATGTGCTGAAGTATTTATAGGGGAGATGTATACATATGTGCATTTAACTCTGAAATGCATCAAAAATTAGGTGATACACAATTAGAGAAATAAATGCAAATAAATGGATGCTACCATTTCATGGGTGTAAGGTGTTTACCACTAAAGCCCTGCAATTTATGGCACATTTGATACTCATTATAAAATGTTGCAAAGAAATATATGTATTTACTCTTTGAACTCATATACCTGTCTTTAGAATCCCATTCCAACAATACTTTGCTTCATAAAAAAAGAACACAGGCTTGGCGCCTATAACTCAGTGAGTAGGACACCGGGCCACATACACGGAAGCTGGCAGGTTCAAGTCTGGCCTGTGCCTTCTAAACAACGACAACTGCAACCAAAAAATAGCCCAGCATTGTGGCAGGATCCACAATAGGCCCAGCTACTCAGGAGGCTGAGGTAAGAGAATCACTTAAGCCCAAGACTTGGAGGTTGCTGTGAGCTGTGATGTCATTGCACTCTACAGAGGGTGACAAGTAAAACTCTGTCCAAAAAAAAAAAGCTGGGCACCTATAGCCCAGAGGCCAGGGCGCTAGCCCTATATACTGAGGCTGGTGAGTTTGAGCCCGGCCAGGGCCTGCTAAACAACAATAACAAATGTAACAACAAAAAATGGCCAGGCATTATGGTGGGAGCCTGTAGTCCCTCAGGAGGCTGAGGCAAGAGAATTGCTTAAGCCCAAGAGTTTGAGGTTGCTATGAGCTGTAATGCCACAGCACTCTACCAAGGCTGACAAAGTAAGACTGTCTCCAAAAAAAAAAAAAAAAAACCACAAAAAAATATATATTATTGGGCAGCGCCTATGGCTCAAAGGAGTAGGGCACCAGCCCCCTATGCCAGAGGTGGCAGGTTCAAACCCAGCCCCAGCCAAAAACTGCAAAAAAAAAAAAAAATTATTATATATATATTATTTACAGAACAAAAAAAAAAGAGAGAGATGAAAATCAACCCAAATGTCCATCAGTAGGGTACCTGCAGAATGAACTATTACACATCCATACAACTGTATCAATAAAAAAAAAAGTAATGAAAACCATTCATACGTTGCTATGGAGGGATCTCTAACATACATTGTTAGACAAAGAGGCATATAGCAGAATAGTACATATAATTTGGTAACATTTATTATGGTGTGGGCATACATTATATACATATACACGTGCCCACTCGTGTTTATACTGAGGGGGGAAAAGGAGCAGGAGACAAACCAAAAACTAGAAGTCACTTGGTTTTATATATGACACCAAAGTCATAATCCATAAAAGAAACCTATAAGGCGGTTACTTCATTGAAAACTTCTGATCTGAGACAGTAAACAGAATAAAAAGACTAGCCACAGAATGGGGAAAATATCTGCAAGAGACATATGACAAAGGACTGTTCTCCAAAATACACAAAGATTCCAAAATTCAAAAACAAAAACAGAAACATCCCCATTAAAAAAAATAAAAGTGTGGGGGTGGTGAGAAAATTCTTAGCAGACACTCCCCCAAAGAGCACATACAGATGGCAAGTGGGCATCTGATGGATGCCCCCATCATGTGTCACCACAGAAACGTGAACTGAAACCACTACATGCCACAACGCTCATTGCAATGCTCAGCATCCAGGAGATACTGCTGACGTCGAATGCTGGCGAGGACAGAACAGCAACAGGAACTCTCATTCATCGCTGCAGGCATGCACAGTGGTACAGCACTTTGAAAGACAATTTGACAGTTTCCTACAAAACCAAACAAACTTTTACCTTCTGGTACAGCAATTGTGCTCCTTGGTATTTACCCAAAGGAGCTGAAAAATGTATCCACACAAAAACCTGCACATGGATGTTTACTGCAACTTTATTCATAATTGCAAAACATGGAAGGAACCAGTATATCCTCCAGTAGGTGAATAAATAAACTACTATATATCCAGATAATGGAATATATTCAGCACTAAAAAGAAAAATGCTATCAACCCATAAAAAGACATGATGGAACTTTAAATATATATTACTAAATGAGAGAAGGTAATCTGATACGGCAATATATGATTCATACACGACATTTTGGAAAGAAAAAAAAATTTTTTTTTGAGCGTCTTACTCTGTTACCCTAGCTAGAGTGCAAAGTGCCGAGGTATCAGCCTAGCTCACAACCACCTCAATCTCCTGAGCTGAAGTGATCCTCCTGCCTCAACCTTCCAAGCAGCTAAGACTAAAGGCACCCTCCACTAATTTTTCTATTTTTAGAAGAGAAAGGGATTCGCTCTTGCTCAGGCTGGTCTCAAACTCCAGAGCTCAAGCAATCCTCCCTCCTTGGCCTCCCAAAGTGCTAAGATTACAACCGTGAGCCACTGTGCCCAGCAGGGAAAGAAAACCATGAAGAAATCATCACGATACTGACAAGCTAGAGAGAGAAAGCAGGCCAGAAACCAAACTACAGGACCACAGCAACCCCTCCCCACACCCCTGAAAATCCTCATGACCTTGACAAGACTACAGCAATCCTGGGAGGACAGCTACCATGTTTCCCTGAAAATAACACCTACCCAAAAAATAAGCCCAAGCAGGATTTCTATGCATTTGTTAAATATAAGCCCTACCCCTATAATAAGACCTAGTGATGCATAGCCACGCCATGCATTTTGGCATGGAGAGGACGACATCCCCTGAAAATAAGCCCCAGTGTGTCTTCTTGAGAAAAAATAAATATAAGGCAGTGTCTTATTTTGAGGGAAACACGGTAGTGACAGAAAGCAGGTGATAGAAAAAAATACAATGGTTACAGCCACCCCCTTCCCATAATCCTGGAATATTTCACAGCTTATGTTCTTAGGAAACATCAGTATCTCCTACCCTGGTCCTGGCTGACACTGGAGATAAGGCCCTGGTGTGAGATTAACACCTTCTGTGGAAGGCAGTAATTCTGAAATCAGACTCAGACACAGCACCATTCACTCTGCAGCAAAAAGATGACTTCCCTCACCTCTCATGATGCCCTCCCACATTCCAGCTACACTAAAAGTCCCTTGAAAGGATGTGAGGGGGGCTGACTCCTGGTCAGACTCCACTCTGCTTCTTTAAAATAAAGCTTATGGCTCGGCACCTGTGGCTCAAGTGGCTAAGGCGCCAGCCACATACACCTAAGGTAGCAGGTTCGAATCCAGCCTGGACCTGCCAAACAACAATGATGGCTGCAACCAAAAAATAGTCGGGCGTTGTGGCAGGCGCCTGTGGTCCCAGCTACTTTAGAGGCTGAGGCAGGAGACTCGCTTGAGCCCAGGAGTTGGAGGTTGCTGTGAGCTGTGAAGCCACAGCACTCTACCCAAGGGGATAGCTTGAGGCTCTATCTCAAAAAAAATAAATAAATAAATAAAAATAAAATAAAATAAAATAAAGCTTATCCTTAATCCCTGGACTGGCCTCCTCTCCTTGTAGACCGTCACCAGGACTCTATCCCTAAACCTCTCAGAAACTATTAAGACAGCAAAAAAGATAAGTGGTTGCCAGGAGTCAAGTGAGAAAATGGATGTGGATGAACAGGCAGAGCACAGGATTTTAGGGTTGTGAAGACTCTGTGTTACACAAGAAGAGCAGACACACGTTCAGGTTTGTCCAAACCCTGAAGTCAACCATGGCCCACAGATGGCACAGATGCGTCTGCACCGATTCTCTAGGGTGGCAAATGGGCTACTCCAGCAGGAGTGCAGACGATGGGAGGCTGAGCCTGTGATACATGGGAACTCTCCGCTATACTGTCCT